CTGAGTTTTCACACGATTCATATTTTACTCACCGTACTTTCAAAATTTTCAATTTGCTCACTCAACTTTATGGATTGAACTTTTTTTGTCACTCCACAGTTATATCAGTAACAACTCATTGAAGTGAAATATTTTAATATTAAACATGACACATCAGATTTCCACATAATAATAATAGTAATAAGGGTAAATTACAAATTTGATAACTGAACTTTCATATGATTCCTATTTTTCTCACCGTACTTTCAAAAAAATCTATTTTGTCCACTTTTTCGTTAAACTTCTCATCGTCAACGATCATCCACCGCTACCTTCATCGTCGAACCCATCTTCATACAATGGTGGCTCACACTGCCACCTCCAACAGCATCTGCGTCGCCTCCCAATTGAAACCTTAGTGGTCGATCGTCAAGGCTCCCCGCTGTTAGTCGTAGAGAAATTGTTGAAGGTTTATCGAAAAACCAAAGCTTCCCACCGATTTTCATCGATTTTCGGAGACCCCGGCTGTCCATTCGTCTCACCACCGCCACCGCTGAAGTCCTCTCCTCTTTCCAACCAAAACCCAGTCGATTTTCACTTTCACTGTCGCTGCCTCCGCCAACCGTCCATTTGTCTAACCCCGACATAGTGACCAAAAAATTTGAATCTATAAAGTTAAGTGAACAAATTGAAAATTTTGAAAGTACGATAAGCAAAATAGGAATTATATAAAAGTTTAATTATCAAATTTGTAATTTACCCTTATTTTTTAAGGATATAAAACGATGTCATTTTTGTTGAGATTGTCATGTCATAACACCTTTAGTTATTTAACGGTTGAGCTACCAAAACAGGAGCAATTAAAAAGTTGAGTGAGCAAATTGAAAATTTTGAAAGTATGGTGAGTAAAATAGAAAACACATGAAAGTTTAGTTATCAAAATTATAGTTTACCCTAAAATTTAAAGGTATAAATTAATTGAAATATATTTTACTCCTAATTAAAGTGTCGATAACAACTTAAAAATCGAAAATCCCTTTGTTTTCTCACTACTCTGAATCTCGACACGATATTCTCTTCACTAAACCTCCCACCACTAGTTAATTAATTCGTCAACAGCAGCTTAAAGATCGAAAATTCTTTCGTCTTCCCTTCTAATTCTTTGAAGGCTAAAGCGGTCGAACGTGTAGAAAGATGGGCAAAGATCTGAGCGGGGAGCAAGTATCCTCTATGAAGGAGGCTTTCACTCTCTTTGATACGGACGGCGACGGGAAGATCGCTCCATCGGAGCTGGGGATGTTAATAAGATCTCTGGGTGGGAACCCCACACAATCCCAACCCAAAGCTATTGTCTCCCAAGAGGAACTAACGACACCTTTCGACTTCCCCCGGTTCTTAGAGCTGATGGGAAAGCACGTGAAAGCAGAGCCCTTCGATAGGCAGCTGCGCGACGCCTTCAAGGTGCTGGATAAGGTGTCCAAAGGGTTTGTGTCCGTAGCGGATCTGAGGCATATATTGACTAGTATCGGGGAGAAGCTGGAACCCTCCGTTCGACGGGTGGATCCGGGAAGTGGATGTCGGGTCGGATGGGAAGATCCGTTACGAGGATTTTATTGCCAGGATGGTTGCCAAGTGAGAAAGCTCCGTTAGCTCTTGCTTTGTTTTTCTATTTCTGGGGAGTTTGGGTTTGATGTGGCCCATGATCATTTCCTTTTTTTCTTTTTTTTCTTCTTGTTTCTATGGAATCAGTACAAGTCATGCTAACTCTTTATTAGCTACTTTGATTGGCTCGGGTGCAGCTATGTAACATCTTCTTGTAAGTATATATATATGTGATCTGATTTTAACAAGCAAATCTGTGTTATGAAGTCAGCTTTTTGTTTATATGTATCTATGGATTTGTTTAACCAAAAAAAACATGTATGTAAGGAACAATTCAGGCTAAATAACAACGTACATATGATCATTTGAGAGCAGAGACCCCATGATTTTAGGAAATACTAGACCGGACATATTGCACTGGTTGATGGTAAAATTTGAAACGATCATGAACGGTTCATTCATTCTAGTTTGGGTTTGGACAGAAAGCTACCTCTGTCGGTGGCAGTGGCGGCGGCATGGAGAATGTAACAATTGCTGGTATGAATAAAAATAATGACAGGAAACTGCTGATTTATGTTCTATTTTTCACCACTCGTTTGAATTTCCAGTCCAGACATATATTACATGTGTACAGCGACTCCACATAAAATGGAAGCAAAGAGAAATCAAACAACTCCCAAGTGGATTGAACAAGAATTCTAGTAGCCAATTAAATGCAAAAATTATAGGGTATCAGCTAAAGTTCATGTTCCCCTTGTTACAAAACTAAATGCAAATGCTCCATAATATGAAGACAATTGTTGCAAAAAAAGAAACCATCTGGCGCTTTAATACATTTCTACAGCCATGTAGATGGCAGAAAAAATTCTAAAATTTGAACAAGTGAAGAGAAGTTGTACAGAAGTAATAAGATTACAAGATATAGTGCATGTACCTTTAATAGAGAAACCATAGTTTACCCTAAAAAATATGGCTTTAGTAGTTTTGACTAGTCGGATTTCGGTGGTTCCATTGTTAGTTTTACCTACTGTACTAACAAATAAAATTAAAGACAATTATTTATATTTATATTTGAATTTGTTAAATTATAACGTCATTTATCTTTATTATATGCGCTTGTTATTTTTTAATGATTTATTAAGTACATGAATAGTTGTTGAAAATAATCAGAAACCCATTTCTCTGTTTTATAAGCTTTTCCAACCGAATTTAGGTTTTATTTTTTGCAATCGGCTTCTCATGAACCCACTATTATGTGTCCGTCCCAGGCTGGATGATGATTAAGCCTACTTTTGTCACTTTTGTTAACGAAGGATCAAATTATTTAAATCTCAAAATGTCAAGGTCCAGTTTTAATAATTTTAATCCACATAGAAAGGCTAATGCCAATGCCCATTATACCCCTTAAATCTCTTTTTTTTCTTCTTCGCCCTCCGGTTCCAAGGCTTGACCTCGACTAATCTGGATAGCACACCTGATTTTGATGGGTGAGTCTCCCAATGGAGATTTTTTACATACACAAGAACTTAAACCTGAGACTGAACTTAAACCTGAGACTTAACTTAAACGATATCAAACTGCTTACCACTTGTACCAACCCCGTTAGTATTTCTTTTCATTGCTTAGATCAATCTAAATCTCAAATCAAAATTCATCAATCACAAAGCCTTGTGTGAACTGAGAACTTTTATCTATATTGTAAAAAAGCTTTTTTTTTAATAGAAGAGACTACTAAAAGTGAACATATTTTCTTATGATATTAAAACTAACTAATTTAGATCATATAAGCACCATACATAGAAAAAGTTAAAAATCTAATAAAAACTCGAATAAAAAATAAATACGAATAAATCTAACTGTATCAACAAACGAATCACAAAAAGGGATTAAGTGATTGAAAGACCACCGAGAACCGTAAATTAGAACTAAACATCGTGAAAAACTATTCACAAATGTAAAATCACGCATCCAAATTTAATTTGAGGATTTATAACGTAAAAGATCAACAAGATTACAAATAAATGCATCTTAATCAGCCGTGGTGTCTTCAAATTCCATCCTCGGAAAACATAAATAAAAGAACATTCAAACGATCGAAAAAAACGAAAAAACGTGTCATGAATAATTATTTTATTAAAATATTAAAAATGGAGAAAATAAAAAATCGACGGACGGCATTAAAACCGATATCATTGTCAGTTAAACAGATTCAAAAAAAAAAACTATTTTATAAAAGACAACTTAAACTCTAAAGAATAAAAAGGAGGAGAGTAAATGTCATAAAGTTTTTAAATTACATAACTAATACAGTGTTTGTATTAAATATATTGGAATTTTCACTACTTGATAAGTTGTATCTATTTGAATTCCATCGTCATCCATTAATATAAAATTTATCATTTCTCTGGAAATTGATTTTTTTTAAAACAATCAGTGTAATGTATTACTTGTTCGCGTGCACAGTACAGCAGGAATCTTGAAAATAGTTTGATATTGATTTTAAATTTTATATTCCATACTAATTTAATCTAATAATATTTATTTTAATTAATAAAAAATATGAAAATTAATAAAAAAAATTATCAAGTGTGAGCAAATTTACCTCACTGATTAAAGGAATCGTTATTATTCCTAGAAGCCACGGGTTTAAGTACCAACAATCTCAATAGGTTAATTGAGCAGTCATTATCAAATGATTAAAAGTATTTAAAACAGATACTACTTTGTAATCATCTTATCTTAATCAATTTTTTTATCAAAATATAATATTTATTTTTAATTCAACCACGCTTTATTCCATCACTTTGAAAAAAAAGTATTTATGCTATTTAGTAGTTAATCAATAGTAATTTTTTAATTAATCATTGGTATTTGGTCAATTGATCGACTAATTCAAATCGGGTATTGCAAAAGTAAGGGTCAACCCTCCCAATCTAGTTTACTTCATTCACAAATGTCAAGATTCGAACTCATAATCTTACTTAAAAGAATCTAATGCCTAATCCTACCATATCAACTGGTTGTTAGTTAAAACAATAGTAACTTAATATAATAATAATAATAATAATAATAATAATAATAATAATAATAAACAAGAAATATATAGCTATGTTTTTACATAATAATATATTAGATAAACAAATTTTATTATGTAAAACTTACAATAAAATACAAAATATATTTTATCATATAGAATAGAATATACTATTTTTAATAATCATTTATTTGATATATATATATATGGTCATATATTTTCAAAATCTAAAGGCACATCTCTGCCCTTATTTTTCTGAACTTAATCTTGCCACAGTATTTGTCAGTTAATAATCTCAGTATTCCGAAAAGTCAAACAACTTGCACAAAAAACAGTAAAGAGATACATGTCTCAGAATGAATGAAAAGCCATTTGTTTAAAACAGAGGACGTTTGGAGCACCAACTTTCCAACAAGTGTCAACCTCTTCTTTTGCATGACCTTTACCTTTACCTCCACCTTAAAACCTCTTTCCTCCTCTCCTCTGCTAAGAATCACTCAGCTGTGCTTTCCTTTCTCCTTCCATGGCGAATTTATGGTTGTTTTTGTTGGTGCTATTGCTTTTTGAAGCTATACACATGGGAGGAGCTGGTCGGTTGAATCAGTGGCAGCCTGGGATTAGGCTGCCTTGGGAGAAAGATGATGAAGTAGATGAGCATCGACTTGTAACAAGATGGGCAGTCCTTGTTGCTGGTTCATCCGGCTACGGTAATTACAGGCATCAGGTATTCACTATGTGTGTTACTTTTTGTTTTCCTGACTAAAAAGAAGAAAGGAGTTTAAGATGGTGGTACGCAAGTGCAGGCAGATGTATGCCATGCGTATCAGGTGTTAAGGAAAGGAGGATTGAAGGAAGAGAACGTAGTGGTGTTCATGTACGATGACATAGCCATGCATCACCTCAATCCCAGGCCTGGAGTTATCATCAATCATCCTCAAGGCCCCGATGTTTATGCCGGCGTACCCAAGGTAATTACTTCCCTTTCAATTATCTAAAATAAGGCTCAGCTTTAGTTGCTCACTTTGTAAGCCAGCATGCTCCATCCCTCCGGAGAGGACCAGGGTTCGATCTTCTCTGAAATTTTCAAATTTTTGTATAGTTTAGACATTTTTCTTATATTTTCTATTAATAATATAATTTATCTCTAAAATTTTATAAATTCACCTCGTACCAACCTAATTAAGTTGGAAGTACGCAGATTTTAAATATCTGGGATGGTAGTGGTGTGAAAATTTATGGTGCGAAAATTCTAGTATAAAATAAGGGAATCCAAGGGACAGGTAGACAGTCTCAATTGTTTGGTATAGAATAAGAAAAATATCATACGGACTGTTGCTTGTGTTTAATCATGATTTGAGGTGTTAAGTGTGCCCTAATTTGGTTGGTTTTCATATTTAAATCAATCCACTTTGATTTTGATAAAACGGTGGGCTCAGTGATTATTGCTACTTTTTAAATATTATCATTAGATTAATGGGGGTAATCCTAGGACTTAAATTTAATAAAAGATAAGACGTTGATTAATTTATGAACCCTCGTACGGAGGATTCATTGAATCGAATTGAATCAAGTTTAGTTAATTTATATTTTATAAACCAAATTTTATTTGAATTTTTTTAAAGTAAGTTGAGTTGATTTTTCATTTAAATTTAATCGTAAACAAACTGATTTCGATTTAAATAACTTTCTACAATCATATACCATATACATATGTATGTTTCTTCATACATATGACATGTAAAGTTGAGATATTTATCTTGAAGCTAAAAATCAATTTATTAATCACTAAAACTTTTGAATTTTTTTGAGTCTTATTTTATAACTTAAATTTTATTTGAATTTTTTCCAAGTTAAGTTAAATTTATGAAATTAGAAGTTAAATAAAAAATGGTTTTTAATCGAATCAAGTTTTATTAACCTCTAATACCACATATTATTATGGGGATTAAGGTAAATAAAACCCGACTCGACTTGAAAAATCTTTCTACTCAACTTGAGAAAACTCGACTCGAAAAAATTTCAAGTTCAAATCAAGTTGTAAAATTCAACTCGAATAATTCGAATAATAACTTGAATAACTAGGAATTTTTAGTAATTAATAGATTGATTTTCAAGTCTTGATATATGTATATTACATATGAAAAAAATATGAAGGTATACATATGTATTGTACATGGTTATTAAAAACAATTTAAATTGAAATCAAACAATATCATAGTATCATAAATATCTACAATTAAATTTAAACATAAACTCGAAAATTCAACTCAACTTCACTCGTATTTTATGAATTTGACTCATCAACTCCACTCAAGTTGTAAAATAAGACTCATCAACTTAAATAACTCAATTTTTTGACTCGTCTTGATCAAACACTCACCTGGGATGATACTTGATAAAAAATCTAAATGTCACTCTCCCTAGAGGGAAAAAAATGAAGAGATAATTTACTGAGAATGGACAGCGAAGGCAAATAAAATACGACATTCCAACCAAAAGTAGGGACGGCAATCGTAAATGTCACTCTCCCTGGATCATTGTGATGTACAACACTGCTAGCATAAGGCGTGAGCTTTAGAATGTTGTGGAGTGATATTTGATGTTCATCGGTTGAATTAACTGTCAACATATTCATACTGATGGGTCTGTAATGGTAGGATTACACGGGTGAGCATGTAACAGCGGCAAATTTGTATGCAGTACTTCTTGGTAATAGAAAGGCACTGAGTGGAGGAAGTGGAAAGGTTATTGATAGCAAACCCAATGACAGAATATTCATTTTCTATTCCGATCATGGAGGCCCAGGTGTTCTTGGTATGTTAAACACTTTCTTTGTGCTGTGTTGATATACTGACTTTAGAACTGTCAATTTACAGAAACTTTTCTTATCTTCAAAGTAACCGTGTACATTGTTTTTATATCTGCTCATAGAGCTTTTCAAGAACAGTGGCTTAGCTAGCTAACAGTCTTAACTAACTGATAACAACTCTAACCACCTAACCAATTCTTAACAGCTTAACTGTTTCATTATTCCCTCTGCTTCTTCTCCCTTCTTCAACAAGGCAGTACACACATCTTGTTTCTGAATTCTTCGAACGCCGCTTTAGTCAGCGGTTTAGTGAGACCATCAGCTACCTGGCAGTTGGCTGGCACATAGCAGACACGCAACGCTTTGGCAGCTACCTTCTCCCTAATGAAATGGACATCCATGTCCACATGCTTCGAATGTGCATGATAGACCGGATTCATGCTCATAGCTATGGCACTTGTATTATCACACCAGATAATCGGTTCTTCACGTGGCTTGGTCCCAAGACTGTCAAGTAACGCATTAATCCAAGTTACTTCTGCCGCTGTGTCTGCTACGCTGCGATACTCAGCTTCCATAGTTGATCTAGACACTGTATTTTGCTTCCTCGAGCTCCAAACCACAGGACACTGTCCGAGGAACACCGTGTGACCAGAAACGGACCTGCGATCACTTGCATCACCACCCCAGTCTGCATCAGCAAATGCTATTACCTTCAGCCCCGCTTCACTAGCCAGAAAGGTGAGACCATAGTCCAAGGTACCGGCTAAGTACCGAAGTATACGCCTGACTGCTGCCATGTGTGCCTCACAAGGAGCATGCATATATTGAGCAGCTTTGTTTACGCTAAACTCTATATCAGGTCAAGTATGGCACACGTACAGAAGTGCACCCACCAAGCTTCTGTACTCACGAGCATCACTGAGTGGCGATCCTGCATCATGAACTAGTTTTGTCAACCCAACCATAGGGGTTGCAGTAGGGGTAGCATGCAACATATCCACCCTCTCGAGTAACTCAAGAACATATTTCTTTTGTGACAACACTAGTTTGCCAGTGGTTCTCTTAACTTCTATACCTAGAAAGAAGCTCAGCTCTCCTAGGTCCTTGAGAGAAAAATCCTCCTGCAAGAGTCGAATCACTCCCTCAATATCATCCATGCTCTCACCAGTAATAATTATATCATCCACGTAAACTAAAACAAGTGTATAGCAACCACTTCCACACTTCACAAAGAGCGAAACATCAGCCAAGGATTCAACAAACCCCATCCGCTCAAGACTCGCCTTAAGCTTGTCATGCCAATTTCTAGGCGCCTGGCGAAGACCATACAAAGCCTTGTGTAGTTTACACACAAGTGGTGATCCATCTGCAGCCACTTCTTCAAATCCTGGGGGCTGTTGCATGAAAACTTCCTCAGCCAACTCTCCATTTAAAAACGCGTTATTCACATCAACTTAACGCAAGAGCCAATTCCTACTGACAGCCAAAGAAAGCACTACATTCAGCGTTGCAAACTTCACGACTGGACTGAATGTGTCCTTAAAGTCATAGCCAGGGACTTGCGAGTATCCTTTGGCAACTAAGCGCGCTTTATACCGTTGAATAGACCCATCCGGATTCTTCTTTATCTTGAAAAGCCATTTGCAACCAACAACATCACGTCCTTTGGGTACAGGTACTAAGGACCAAGTCTTATTTCCTTGTAGGGCATCGAGTTCTGCCTGAATTGCTGCTCTCCAACTTGAAGACTGTAACGCAGCTCGAATACTGGTAGGGGTTGAGTCATCGAAGAAGCTAGTGTATGTTTTTGGCTTAAATATACCACACTTACTACGTGTAAGCATTGAATGTTTATTCCCGAGTACACCTTCAGCAGGCTGTTCTTGAGTAGATGCAGATGTACTGGCAGTAGCCCGACTGGAACTATTCTATGCCTGACTGGTCATATGGGTGACAGAATTTTCATTGTCACTAACCAAAGCAGGACTTGCCACTCTTGACGCAGTAGAATGCTCATCATCCGGACTTGCAACTCTCGATGTAACAGGATGCTCATCATCCGGACTTGCAGCTCTCGATGCAGCAGGATGCTCATCACCCGGGCTTGCAGCTCTCGATGCTCCATCATGTTCATCAACTGCGCCTGTTCCAGTTGAGAGAACCCTCTCGCTGTTTATTTCATCACGTCCCACATCCATTAAGGTAGCGTCACCATGTGCACCGAATTTTCCTAGATCGGTAATCACTTCTAGAGGCAGTAGTTGTGGACTGATTTTGTGAGCTGAGGAACTTGTATGAGTAGGGCCTGCAAAAGGAAAATTTAGCTCATTAAAAATCACATGTCGAGACACATATATACGGCCATTGGGTGCAAGGCATTGGAAACCCTTGTGGTGAGGACTATAGCCAAGAAAGACACACGATTGCGATCGAAAGTCAAGCTTATGTTTCAAGAAAGGTCTCAAGTGTGGAAAGCACTGACAACCAAACACTTTCAGCCCCTCATATTCAGGTCTCTTGCCAAAAAATTTCTCAAATGGTGACTTCCCTTGTAACACTCTTGTTGGTAGTCTATTGATTAAGTGCACTGCAGTAACGACTGCATATGACCAGAAACGTATTGGCATAGACGCCTGAGCAAGAAGGACAAGTGCAAGCTCGATGATATGCCGATGCTTGCGTTCCACCACACCATTTTGTTCAGACGTGTGTGGACAAGTCACACGATGCAAAATACCTTCCTTAACCAACGAGGTTAACAGCCTCCTGTATTCTCCTCCCCAGTCACTCTGGACTGCTTTAATGGGTAAGTTGAATTGGTTCTTGACCATTTTCTGAAACAAGCCAAACGCAACGACGGCTTCTGACTTGTCTTTCAACAGATAAAGCCACGAGTGTCTAGTACTCGCATCAATAAAGGTGACATAGTACTTAAAGCCATTTGAGGTTACTGGTGCTGGTCCCCATAAGTCTGTAAACACGAGCTGAAAAGGAGTATCATACACAGTGTTCGAATTGTGAAATGGTAGTTTATGACTCTTCCCCATTTGACAAGCAGGACACGTTTTATTCATTGACCTTGAAATGTTTACATTCAATTCTTTGCAAATTTTTAGTAAACTATCATGAGAGGGGTGGCCCAACCGTCGATGCCAAAGTTCGTAGGAGTCAAGTGAAGCAGCCATGGAACTAGCTTCTTCAGCAACTAGAGCTGTCACTTGAGGATCAGCAGCAAACGAATACAAACCACCTTCTTCTTTTCCACGAAGCAAGACAGTCCCAGACTCTTCATCACGAACACAACACTCATGTGCATGAAATTCAAAGAAGGCATTGTTGTCCCTAGCAAGCTTCGAAACAGACAAGAGGTTCTTAGTTATCCTAGGAACATGCAGCAAGTCATTTAATAGTAAGGCTCTAGAAGACGAGCATAAGATAGAGTTACCAACTGCCTTGATGTCTAAGGCTACTCCATTGCCAACTACCAACTTACCTGGACTGTTGTAGTCATTTCTATGACTAAGGACTGTTCCATCTGGGGTGACATGATGGGTGGCACCTGAGTCCACCACCCATCGTTCGCGATTTGTTGTCGAGGTAAGCGCTTGAGGTCGTGTATCAATTTGAGACCCGCTGTTTCGAACACAACAACTTTCACACTCAGCAGGCTTAGTTTCATATGCAGAGTAATGTGCATCTGCAGGCTGGTCCTTTGAATACGACTTACTACCAGCTGTAACCCCAGGGAAGTCATGATCAAAACGATACCAACAGGTGTCTACAAGGTGGCCATTTTTACCACAGAGCTGGCACTGCATATAACGGCCACGACCTCTGCCTCTACCACCAGTCCTTCCATCAGAACTAGTCGGTGGTCGAGAAGGCTTACGATCGTAATAGTTGTTAGAGACGATGACTTGTTTGAACCTGTCCCTTGAGCAATGTTAGCACTTATTGGCAACACTTCAGGTTGATCACCAAAGCCAGCTAACTGGGTTTCTGCATCCAGTAGCATCCTGTACACTATGTCAGGAGTTAGGGCTTCACGTGTGGTTGTTATGACTGCAACAAACGGCTGGTACTCTCGAGGAAGGCCTTTTAGTATGCTGGCAACATGTTCAGCTTGGGACACGACACTGCCACACGACTGCAAGGCATCACACACTTCTTTTACACGTGTGATGTATACTCTCATCGAGTCATCCCCTTTCTTGAGAGACTGCAGTTTATAGTGTAAGCTTATAACAGCAGTTGTGGATCTGTTCCCAAAGAACTGAAGCACCGTGGACCAGACTGATGACGCCGTCTCAGCACCCACAAACTGAGGCAGAAGCTGCGAGCTAATCGTGGAGAGCAACCACGACGCAAGGGCGCTGTCTTGAGCGACAAATTCTTCAAACAGCTCATTGGGCAAGACTTCTCCATCATCGCTAACTATGGTCTCTGGCGGAGACCTCATCGTTCCCATCAAGAATCGCTCAAGGCGATGGCTGCGAACTGTCAGCAAGATTTGCTGTTTCCAGAGCAAGAAGTTCGTTTCGTCAAGAATTACGTTCACTTTTTTATTGGAGAACGCTTTAGTGCTTCTTGTGGTGAACTCCATGGCTGGAGAAGACGCATCGCTATTGAACATGATGAGCAGCAAACAACGCTAGTCACAGTTGAGAGAAGAGCCTTTTACACAGCGGAAACAAGAAACCTTTGCCCAGGAAATTTAGCGAATGATACCATGTTGATATACTGACTTTAGAACTGTCAATTTACAGAAACTTTTCTTATCTTCAAAGTAACCGTGTACATTGTTTTTATATCTGCTCATAGAGCTTTTCAAGAACAGTGGCTTAGCTAGCTAACAGTCTTAACTAACTGATAACAACTCTAACCACCTAACCAATTCTTAACAGCTTAACTGTTTCATTATGCTGCATCAGTATACCAGAATTCTAATTTGCATGCTGTTAACATGTTTGATAACTTTCTTGGAATTTAGGGATGCCAAATTTGCCATATCTGTATGCCATGGATTTTCTTGATGTCTTGAAGAAGAAACATGTAGCTGGAAGTTACAAAGGGATGGTAACATTTCTTCTAACTTGAGAAAATTACTCATGCTCTGCACTTGTATGAACTCGGCAATTTTGACCTTTATAATCTCCATGCCACTAGGTTATATATGTAGAAGCCTGTGAAAGTGGAAGTATATTTGAAGGCATAATGCCCAAAGATCTTAATATTTATGTTACGACAGCATCGAACGCTCAAGAGAATAGCTGGGGAACTTATTGTCCTGGGATGGATCCTCCACCACCTCCGGAGTTCATCACTTGTTTAGGAGATTTATATAGTGTGGCTTGGATGGAAGATAGGTATGAACACATATTTTCCTCTGAAATCTGATCTTACTTGCATTTACGAGATTATCGACTAGTTAAATGCAAATTTTAACACGATTCCCATCATCACTATTTCACTAATACAAGTGAATTGTGCTCATTAGCTCTTTTATACTCTTATCTTTGGCAGTGAAGCTCATAATCTAAAGAGAGAAACTGTAGAGCAACAGTATGAATCAGTAAGTACAAAAGATATTCAGCAAATTTGTGAGCTATTTTTGGTCTTATAATCAGCTGAACTCAATCCTTGAATTTTCATCATGCAGGTAAAAGATCGGACTTCCAATTTCAACTCTTATGTGTTTGGTGGTTCGCACGTTATGGAATACGGGAGTACTAGCATAAAACCGGAAAAGCTTTATTTATATCAAGGTTTTGATCCTGCCACCATAAATCTTCCTCCAAATGATTTGAGCCCTCGCACTCCTACAGAAGCAGTTAGCCAGAGAGATGCAGATATTCTATTTTTATGGCAGATGGTGAGCTTGTTGTTTAAATTACAGATGGTGGTATATTTTGTTTGGTTGACTTGAAATAGATGTTGATCATCTCATTTGTCATGCAGTACAAAAATTCAGAAGATGGATCGAAGAAGACAGAAATACTCGAACAGATTACCGAGACAATGAGACATAGAATCCACTTGGATGGAAGCATTGATTTGATTGGAACATTATTATATGGACCAGGAAAAGGCTATGCCTTTCTCAAATCTGTCAGGGAACCTGGTTTGCCCCTTGTGGATGACTGGCAATGCTTGAAATCAATGGTATTAATCCTTTTTCTTTTAAATCTCGAAATTTGGCTGCTTCTGATTTATTAAGCGACAATCAAATCTTCAATCCAGGTCCGGTTGTTCGAAACACACTGCGGGTCTCTAACGCAATATGGCATGAAACACATGCGTGCGTTTGCCAACATTTGCAACAGTGGTGTCTCCCAAGCCTTGATGGAAGAAGCTTGTGTTGCTGCGTGCAGCGGCCATGATCCAATTCAATGGCATCCTTCAAATCAAGGCTATAGTGCTTGACTGAATAATATATATATATATATATATACATACGCATATGACCAAAACTTGTGATATATGTTTGGTTTGGTTTGCTGTTAGTTGCAACATCTGTCCTTCCTACATAGCAGCATTGTATAGATGAAGCTTGTGTATATATATAGTTAAGGGTAAACAGAAGTCTTTGTATCTTCAACGTATGATTATTGAGGTCCCTGGTTTAAGGTCCTGTGTCTGCAGTAGTTGATGATTTGGGGCAGAGATGCACAGGACGAGGGTTTGAGCGCAATTAGCGGTGACTGGGTACGTATAGGGCTGGTGTTTGGACAAGTGGGCTTTTGTTTTGGTGGTATCATGTGCTGGTTTGGGTTGGTTAAGTTTAATGGGTCTAGGTGGTGGATAAGTGATTTTATTTTCAGGCAAATTGGATCCGAGCCTAAATATTTAAATCTTAACAAAATTTGATATTACAGTTGAACTAGGTGCAACTTGATTATGACTGCATTTCTTAGAGCGTTATGCACAAAGGTATCTTAATCTTATTTATTTTGATTAATCTGGATCTATGCACAAACGTATGTTAATCCTTTTTTTATTAATCTGGGATTCATAGACGATATTTTTGGAAAGAATTGGCGCTTAAGTCCGCCTTTATCATTACTAAGCCATGATCAAACCTATAGGATTAACAAAAGATACGGAATCTTAATACACTCGGGGTTAAACACGCCACCAAAGTTGAACGACTATGTGGAAATGTAAACGGGACTAACTTAACCACAAAGAGAGGCAACTCTGGAACAAAGCTTATAAAAGCCAAGTGAAAATAAATAAAACGACAAAGCAACAAGAACGAAATTTAAAGAAATTTAGAGTAAATATTGAGTTGTATTACTTTGAAGAGAATAAATGAATGATTACAAATGAGAAGGTGAGACTCTTATTTATAGTTGGAGAGCGAGAATGAATGAATGAATGAATGAATGAATTGAATGATTACAAATGAGAATATGAGACTCCTATAGTTGAGCTCCCCTAGTTCCAACGATCTTAGATTAAATTACATCAACAACTCAGATTGAATTGAAATCCTATCAATATCTTTCAAGTTTAAATCAAACATTATCTCTATAATTTAAGTATTTATCTCCTTAAATTAAGAGATAATTTTATCCTACTGGAAACTTTCAAGGAATGGACCAGGTGTGGGGGCTTTGGGCAAACCCAATACTCTGTATGACTCTTTTATGGATATCCACACACATGTCTCAGTTTGAACTCTACGAGACTCGACAAATTACCCCCACCGAACCTTGTAGCACCCTCATCGCTTTTCTCGAACACCCTCAAACTTAATCCTTCACATAATTAGCATTCTTTAAGAATCGGGCCAAAAATTTACGCTGTCAAGCCCAAGTCTACGCAAAGAACCTCTTATGTGGGATTCTACGCACAAGTCATGGACTCAAATGTCTGGGTCGTGACATTCTCCCCACTAAAACTCGTGATGCCTTCGTCGCGCCACTTGAACAACTTGGAATTGATCTCTTTGTACACCCATCGATGCCTCGACTTGCTGCAGTCCCTTATATGAACTGCTCGCCTTGGCTTTTTTCGTAACGTAACAACACAATCTACCGTGTTTTCACGCACAAATAGCTTGTAGGAACCGCTTCCTACTTGTACAAATTTGCTTCAACTAGGATCCATTCGATCCTTCAAAAAGGCTCCGAAATTTGGCATCTTCACATTAACAGTTTGGTCTAAAGTGACCTTCACTCATCAAAGAAAGCAAATTAAACTTCAAAACACTAAGAATGTGTTTGAGATATACTTCCCTCAATTTGACTTCAGCTCTATTTACTCTAAAATGTGCCAATCTTTCTTTACCAATGAAGTCTGGCACTCCTTGCATCGACACTTCTCCCTCGATGTTCGCTGCACCACTTCACATTATCCCTTCTATTGCAAAGTCCAATGCCTCTTCTCGCATCCTCCCTTGTAATTTGAAGTTTGGAGCTGGCATCAGTTCTTCCTTTTTGAAGTCTTGTGCCCCTTCTTACTTTAACATTTCTTACTTAAAATTCGTTACTCATTTTCCACCTTAAAAATGAGTGGTTTTTCCATGGTTGCCTTGTGCCCAAATGGCTCAATCTCCTTCGACCCTTCTCCAATAGTGGTGTCTGAAGGTTCTCAACACGAAAACGCTCAGTAAGCACCTCGATATTTTCTTGGATCGTGGCTAACCTTTCCTTCTTTTGGCATCCACTTACTTCGACAGAAGTAAACATTATAGGGCCAAGTATCAACTCCTCATCTATCATGGGGTTTTCCTTCTCCTCAGACCACTTGATTTTAGGCTCATCCATCTCCTTTGATGACTTGGCTTAATCTGGGCAAATTTGCATCATATGTTGCCCCTTATCTCGATAACCCTTTGTTTGTTCATTTCTTACCCACATCTTAGCGTCTTTTACACTTAAACTTGTGTCATGTTTGTACTTGTCTTCTCTAGAACAATTCATTTGGATCATCATTGAGTAGACTCTCATCATTACTCGATGAACTATACTCCTCATCATCTTTCGACAGCCTTTCATCACTGATTCCCTCGCCATTATCCTCGACTTTCAACATGGCCCAAGACTGGTTGATTTTCTCGACACCAACCTCTTTGATGGACTTGACGATTATCAAGGCTTTGGAAAGCTTCTTGACTCCTTTTTGTTCAAACACTTTCTTCATTTATGGATTCAATCCATACATGAAAGTGAATAACCTGTATTCTTCAGTCAAACTTGGGATTTCAAGTTGCTCATTTGACGGTTCAGTCATACTCAGCCATCTGCCAACTCTGGCTTCCACAATGACGTTGTTTAACTTACAAACATCATTGGCAAGCTCTTTTGTCATCTCTAATTTGGACAACACTTTCTGCTCTCGGTCATCATTCGACTTGGTAGAATCAAGCACCATCGAACGAAGCCTCGTATCGACCTTGTACATTCTTTTGGATTGGTTAACTCGATTTGGTCACCTTCGCAACTTATGTGGCCCATCACATCGGTTGAGAACTTTAGTTTCTCCTCTTTTTCCTCAGTTTTATGGCTTTATCCTTCGTTATCGCTCCAGGTCTCTTACTTGACTTGACTACTTTGGAATTTGTAGCCGTACTAATTCTCTCTCTTTGCTTGACAACATTGACATTTGTAATTGTGCTAGGTCTTTCTTTGAGTTTGACTGCTTTAACACCTGCAGTCGCACCTCGTCTCGCTCCGGGCTTGGCTACTTTAACACTCGTAGCCATGACACATATCCCTTCTAGTTTGGTGGCTTTGACATCTACAATTACACCAAGTCTTGCTACTTCTCCTCCTGGATCATCTATATACAAGGCAATATCTGTTCAAAGATAACTCTCAATCATTTTACATTGAATTTTCAAACCGTTGACATTTTCAATCAAGGAATAACAACAATTCATTTATCACTAAGCTCGCTTAATTCGTACTACAACTTATGACCTTTAAAAAATCTTATCAAGTGATTATAAAAAGAGAAAATAACCTCAGTGACAAAAAATCCCATATAATATACGATTTTAACCAACTTTTTCCGGATTTGCCAAAAGACCAACAAAATCGCAATGCGATCGCTAATTCGCAACGCGATCTCCATTATCGCAAATCAGTTTCCAGATTCGCAACGCGATTATGACTATCGCAATGCAATTTTCCTAATTTGCATTGCGATTTATGTATTCGTGTTGCGATTTTCATAATTCGCAATACGAATACGTAAATCGCAACGCGATTAAGTAAATCGCAATGCGAATTACGAAAATCGCAATGCGAATACGTAAATTGCAATGTGAATCTTACTATCGCAATGCGATTTACATAGCGTCATTCGTATTAACGCGTATTTTTTTTTCAAATTCCAAACACGAATTTTTTCTTAATATATCGGAAACTGAACCGTCCACAGTAATCGCAACTCATAACCTCAAACCTAAAATCACAACACTCAGTCCCATCTCCATCTCTCACTCTCTACGGCGAAATCCGTCCCCATCTCCGAAGATTTCCGTCCCCATCACCGGCGAAATCCCTCACAACCATTCACGGTCAGAAATCCCTCACAATCATTCAGAAATGGAAAATCAACCTCCGAGGGTTAGTTTTTTTAATTATTTTTATTTTGAAAATTTTGCATTATTTTAGGTTTTTCATATTGAAATTGATGATAAGTTTACTGGTAATTTCAATAATAGATTAACCATTTCACTTAGATTTCTTATTAAATTCATTCGATTGCTGCCAATACTGCTAAATTGTTTAGTATTTAACCCTGTGAAGTTAATATTTGTCTTTGTTTTGTCTTTTTCTTGAAGTAATGCAGAAGAAGAATAGTTTCGAGAATGAAAATCGCAACGCGGAAATAACTATCGCAACGAGAGAATCGCAACTCGAAATGAAAATCGCAACGAGATAATTGCAACGTGAAACCAAAATCGCATTGCGATTTTCATTTCGCGTTGCGATTTTCATTTCGCGTTGCGATTCTCTCGTTGCGATAGTCATTTCGCGTTGCAATTCTCTCGTTGCGATAGTCATTTCCGCGTTGCGATTTTCATTATCTCGTTGCGATTTTCATTTCAACCAAAAGACAAAACAGTGTTGCAAATTTTAGTTTCAAGAATAAACTACTATTTATGTTTATTGTTTTTGGTATATCTTCACAGTATAGCTTCATTGACATTAAGGAATAAAGTTAGCCTAGCCACTACAATTGCTTCGAAGCTTTCACCTGCACAAAGAAAATTATTTGAGGAAACCTGCTTCGGGCCATGGCTGAGAGTACAGCATCCGGGTGGAGATGCTAATTTGACCCATTTGTGGCTTCAGACCATGACTAGCGATCTGCCCGACAGTATACAACGTGGTGAGGAAGAGATATGGTTTCATTTTCCACCGACGTATACTTGTTTTGGGCGGAAGGAGTTCTGCTTAATCACTGGTCTACGATTTGGACACGATGATGTAGGCCGATACACTTGTCATATCACCCGCCCATCATGGTTACCCAAGGTTTTTCCTGATGAGTCAATAGAGAAGCCGAACTTACACGTCGACGACCTGAAGAAATTGTTTAATAAGAAAAATGGTTTTACTCGGATGAATGACGTCGATGTTGTCCGAGTATGCCTTCTACTACTTTTGTATGCCGGCTTTTTAGGCAGAGAGGCCAGACAACCTATTCCTCAGGAGCTAATATTATTGGTAGAGGACCTAAATACATGGAATCTGTTTCCGTGGGGTTCGTATATATGGAAAGCTAACTGGACTAAGTTGTCGTCTGCCTTTGATGACCACAAAAGTTTACGGGGCGATGGCTCGAAATACACTTTGTCAGGCTT